TGTACATATATTCATCTGGAGCAGTTATTTAGAGCAACAGCATTGCAGCATTTTCTGCTAGAATGTTTCAGTTGGTTACAAACGTTTCTGTACATTACTTTTCCTTGTAACCAACCTTAGCTTTGGATTATACATTAGCGTGTTTTCTGCTCATTTTTATGCATCAGTTTCCTTTTCTGCTTTCTGGTCACCTGAGATTTGACTGTTGTTAGTGAAGCTCACTAGGGTCATTTTTCTGTACATGATTGACTGCCTTTTTTACAATCTGCCTAGTGTTTGGCGATTGTCATCTATAATAGAGAGCTAGAATATCCTTGATTTTTGTTCTTGGGTATTCCAGTACTTTAAATTTGAGAGTTGAATACTGTTTAACATTTGCAGTAGGATGATTAATTGTTCAAATCTCGTCAATACAGACCTTAAACTTTTGCTTAATCTTAGATTGCATGTAATTGCAGCTGTCTAGCTCATAATGAATAAGCAAACTCTATACTGGCTATGACAAATTGCTTTATCTCTGCTTTTCTCCCTGCTTGACTACTAATGCTTAACACATACATCGTCAATTTGTGTATTGCAGGTAATTTTTGATTTTAGTATTTTTGAAAAGTGTGACTAAAAACTAAGGGTTGGCGGGTCAAATGATTACACTTAAATTTTGTCACCAGACAAACAACGACATAATAACAGCCTCCTTGGAAATTGGAGATGTGGTGCTTTAAAAAAAAATCATTTAAATAGCAAAGATTAATACTTAATCATTTTAATAGGGTTTCATCGCCACTATTAGCAAGAAACGCGATCGTTAAATTAATCATCACCCATAAGAAAAAAACTTTTAAGAATAGTGTGGTCATCAATTAAATTAAACAACTATATAAGAGTGGTTGCACATCACATAGGTATAAGATTATTAATGATTACTTTTCCAAGAGGTTATTAGCTACATAACCAATTATCAAACAACATTTATGCTGGTTACTAAAATGACAACGAAGTGAAATCTAGTTGATAAAATGCTTGCCAACAAGTAACGGGTCGAGTTAGGGAGTTAGTAAGGAATAGTTAATAAAATGCTTCATTTGTAACCGATCCATAAGGGATGGGTTCAAGCTAAAGAGCAAGTAGGAATCAATCCTTGTTAATCGTCTTTAAAAATGCAAAACACTGAAGGGACAGAAAGAGTTCCTAAGCCCTAGGCCCCTGGTGCAAATCCATCTACCATACACATGGCTAGACCCACTCACAGCCAAGACAAAGCCCAACCCATACTTGGAATTGGCAAAGGCTATATAAGCCTCGGCCGCAAGCCGCTGGTGACCTCCTTTTTCAGTTTTTTCTGTTTGATTCCTAGTCTCGACTTTCCCAAACGCAACGCTGCCTGCTGGGACTTCGTAACCACTGTCACCTGAGAGAGAGAGAGAGAGAGAGAGATGGCGGACAAGCCAAGCAGAGCATTGGTGTTGTACGGAGATGGGTTGGCCTCATTCATCTCCCCGTCTCATACCCACCTCCATTCCTTGGCTTCTCTCGCCTGCTGTGGCTTCTTGACCCTCCCTCATTCCGCTCCTCTTCCTTCTGGTAACTGCTTCTCTACATGCACCAGTTTTTGTTTATTCCTTTTGCGTTTTACGCTTAATAATCTCTTACATCTATTATGCATCATATATAGTTCTTCGAGTTATCTATGCCCTTTGTTGTGATTTGTATTTAGTTGCTATTTACAGCTGAAATGGCCAAATGGGGCCGCTTTTTCCTTTTCTTTTGGTGGGGTTGGTGATTTTGTTTTATAGAAAATAAGTTACTTTGTCTTAGTTGATTCTAAGATAGTCTAAATTGGTATCTGAGCATGCCATTAGTTCACCCGGCAATGCTAATGACTGTGAACTAGAAGTTTGCAGGTCTAACTAATTTATGATTCACGAATAATGAGAATTTATTTCCAATTCTTGAGAATAAAGGTTTCAACATTTCCAAAGATTCAGTCTTGGCCGTGAAAGTATAACGCGTCTCTTTGCAGTTTGGACAATTTGATGATAATTAAAGCTCTTGGCTTTACAGTTGTTTCAAATATGATTAGCATCGTACTCTTAATCTTTGAATTGCATTTTGTCAGTTCTTTATTTACTTGGGCATTACCTTGCAAAAAATGTAGATTCAAGAATAATTAGAGATTTTGCAGAGCTAGTGGATAGTTCTGAAGCTTATAACAAGGGCGTAAGTTTTAAATTTTTGAATTAAGATATATTGGTGAGCATAATTTATCTGACTCTAACACCTCTTTGTTTTGGTTTTTAGAATCTGAAAGAATCTTTGGAAGCTGAATCTCCTATTCCATCTATATCTGAGAGGTTCAATTTTTCGCTCCAACTGTATGACTAGGATAATATTTGCAGTCCATCCATAAACCGTTCCCCTCTGACCTTTTCAATTAATCTCAGGTTTATGGGGATGAAAGCTGCTGTAATTACTAATAATTCAAATTTACAATGCTTCGGGAGCAAACTTGGATTAACCATGTTGCAGTCAAATGAGGTAATTGACAGTGGCCTTTCCCTGGCTGATTCATCAATTGTGGCCTCTCAATTGCTGAAGTTGCTTGGATTTGAAGGAGGGAAAACTTTAGAGACAAGCCAGTTTGATTTACTTTTTGTTCACATAGGAGCTGGTGAAGAGCCAAATGGTCTTTTGGACCTTGAACATGTCAATGATTTAATTGGTGCATTACTGCACATAGCAAAACCTGGAAATGAGATTAGCTCTCGGTTGCATCTGTCTGTTATATTGAGTTATGGAACCTTCATTGATGAAAATCCAAATCTTTGTTTCTCTGTTGCCGAGCATGATAGTAACTCTGAGCTATCTGTCCTTTTCCCCCGTCAAAGCTACACAATGAAAGGAGGGAAGCTGCGAGAAAATGTTAGGTAAATGATGCAGGGTATGTTCTAGTAAAACCAACACATGTTGCCTCCATCTAACATGTTATGTAACAGGCACCTCTATCCGATGTTAATTGCTCAATGGCAGAATGCTGTAACTCGCAAAGATGTTGTTGAGACCTATTCCTTTTCAAATTTTAAAGAGGTACTATTTATAAATTTTGGTACAGCTTTGAATCCTATGGAGCACAGTATGGAATAGCAGCATGTAACTCGTAGATGCTTTTCTTTCTCTCTTCTTGTGTCATCCTTGTTTTCTTTCCTTGTTCTTAGGATATTTGTTAATCTCCATGAAAGTTATCAAGCTTTCAATTGTTTTGATTGTTGAATGCTTTTTGGTCCCTGGAACTGGTGCTCATGCTATCTGTTTTGTATACTCTTGTCTACCATTTGTAGTAATGCACATTGGTCAAGTTATGTTGATTGAATATCCAACTGCATCTCTTATTCCTTTCTGCGTATCTTAGAATATTTTCTTCCTCAACGTTGACATTGACAATCAAAAGCAATATGTATCCCACAAGGAACTAAAAAATGTTTGACTGGGGTAGTTGCATGAATTATTTTTTGGTAGGAAAGCATGATAGATGTTCTCATGCAATATGTTTTTAATGCTACCAACTTTAGATCAAGTAGAATGTTGAAGCCGTGTTGTCTGTTATTACTGGTTATTTTGTTGCATCCCTTCTCAGTTTTGGTGTTTCCATCATGTGATTCATGGAGGTCATTTGATTGGGAAATTAATTACTTATGACGACAAATTTGTGAACTTATAGACGTTTAATGCGCATCTTAAGTGAGAGTTACATGCTCCCTTTATCCCGTTGCTAGCGTCATACTTTTCTTTCTGGTCATTCACAAAATATTTGTTGCTAACTAAATTTGGTAGGAAATTTATTGGCCAAACCCTTCTATTTTGCTAATTGTTGAGTGCATTTAAGGGCCCCGCTGGATGAATCTACACATATAGCCATGCTGCACTTGCGAGCATGGAATGCACGAGGAGTCCTTTTAATCACCAATTTTACTGTGCACATGTTTGATTTTGTGGAACTTCATGAGACTGGGTTGTCCACTGTGTCAAATCATCATTTAGTTCAATATCAAATGTAGTCAGCACCCAATTCCTTCCTTATCAAGCTACTGTTACACATAAGTTGGAAAACTGGATAGGACTAGCAATTTAGGATGGATGAAGTGTTTGGCTTTTCAAAAAAGCTGTTGGCCGTCTGTTGTTTCTCTGGTATTGACATTTTGTTATGTAGGACCTATGGTGATCCTATAAAATCTGTCATTTCTGCAACTCTTGTGAGGTAGATGATGCTGAGACTCAGCTTAATGCATATTAGTGTTGCAGAAGTGATAAGATTGTTATCTCTTGCTTCTTTTCCCTACCTCTAGTGAGTAGCATACTGGATGCTTTTTAGGTTCACTGATCTGCAATAATCATCATTGTGACTCACCATCTACATAATAACATTCATGGCGATTTTTCTGGAATTTGAAGTAATTGTTTGAGCATCTCCCCTTGTCATGCAGCATGGAGGATACCTTGTGATACCTGCTGATAGATTTCTACACGAAGTGGCATTTAAGCTTTGGAAGGCCCCAAAGTATGGAGCTTGAAGTTGAGGCAAATTGTGAAGCTTGAGCAACGACTGGGAATTAGTTAATACTATAGATAAAAAGTATTTCACCATCTTTTTCCCATTCCTATGGTTGGATGGAGAAACAGTCTATCCGCATGGATTTGGTCTTTTCAAGTATAGGGCCAGATTTATCTTCTTGTTTTTGCTTGTATTTACTCATGAAACGAAGGTAATTCACCAGTGAGAGGCTGAGCACTCGTCACAATAATTGTACGAGACAATGTACATTGTAGGCAACAAATGTAGACAGTTAAAGAACAATTGTATATTCTAAGACAATAGGTGTAAAATAATACGTAGGGCAGCATTAGCCGTCCATCCATCATTTGGAATTTTTCCACTCAATTTGCTAGCCTTTCAAGCAACCTTTTTCTGTAAATAACAGAAACAATTTAAGGATAGACAAGAAACATATAAAATGGCTGGCACTGGATTTGCTAAGACCAATGTGAATTCTTTGATTAATCACAAGTTATCGAACAAAAACTAGTACTACTTCAAACTTTCAATAGAAGGTACTTCACATTACATCAGGCAAGAACAAGATCTCCCGAGCGCCGCACCAGCTAGCTCTCCAATACATTGTTAAGGCAGTAATTAGCCAAAATGTACCATCCAATAAGGAGAAGGGCAAAAGAAAACATTGCAACGAGAAAAGGCCATCCCACCACCACAACACCCAGGCACATCACTGCCACAAAAGGTAAAAATGACCTTAAAACTGACAGGACATCAACCCAATGCCCTTTAAACAATATCAGAGCTGCAACCTTAATCATGTTCCATTGCATTGAACCCCTGTAGCAGAGCCGGTTCAGACAATAAGCAACAAATGAGTAACAATTGCATGTAAAAAGGTTGTATGACTTGTGCTCAAAGTGACGCATGCTTGATTGGAGAGCGTCATCCCATGTGATAGCTGTCCCATTCTCGGCATGTTTGTAACCATGCTTACACATGTGCCCCGCAAGGTTTGGAGGGAAGCAGCACTGTTTAAACATTAAAATTTTTTGCAGAAACAAGTTATCCAACAGTCTGACTAATCATATGGAGCTGCCTCTCCTATCCATTCTAGTATTCAAGAAAAATGAAGGGGAGGGGGGAGGTATCAAAATTTTGGGGCTTAACTGAGAGAGAGACCAATTGACACCAGTATCAAGCAATAGCAGTCATTAAGGAGTACCTGCTCTCTGTCTAATTGAAGGTATCTGGCTACGGAGCCAAATGCAAAGTCATTGACATTCACAAAGTTGGATCCAGAAAAATCTAGAATAGTACCATCCTCCATGCATATGCCAACCTGTCCGATAAAAGGTGCCAGCCATGAGACAACTGGGAGGGGCGTCCAAACTATACAACAGGGGAACTTTGAATTTTTTGGATCAATCTCCCCAAGTGGCCAGAATTCATGCTGAATCCTCCCCACAGAACTTTTACTTCCAATGCTGTGGATAGGTGTAAGCTCCATCATAGAAAGTCTTCTTAAAGGCATACGGCCATATATAGTCTAGTTCTCTTAAGCATTTCCAGTTCAGACAACACCCTCCGACATAATCGATATGCAACTCACACAAGATGACAGAGACAGGTATATCAATAGTGCAGTAACTCAATGCAAAAAGGTTCTCTGCCAAAAAAAAAAAAACTATAGTGAAACATTAAGCTATGAAGGGCAGCAACCAGAAATAAGCACTCAATGCTTATGTTGATTAAAATAAAATCTTGACCATGTAAAAAAAAAAAAAATTCAGACAAGACATATAAGTATCAGCAAAGGTTATTCATCTGAAAATAAAGAGAGAAACAGAGGCAGCAGAACTAAATGATGAAGCACATTGATACACACCATTCACTTCACCTTGATTAAATAGTTAAAGATTCATATTCCATGATTTAGCATTAAGCAGCTTGTTTTGGAGTGATATCTTGCTTACCTAATGCCTTACTAGCATCCATACACAAGCACACAGAATGTTATGAGAATGTTAAATATGGTTCAAGCATTCTGCACATATTCAAATTCATTCCATGAAACACTTATATAGAGTTATACTAGTTTCCATTCATTTCCCAAACTTAATTCAGTTCTTGTCGAATTACCAAAAATCATACAACATTACCCACAAGTTGCAGCAGAAGATGCTCTTACCATCTACTCATGAATGCATTTGATAGCATTCATTAGATGGCAAGATCTGTTTAGTTGTACTTAGCAACACACATGATATTTAGTGACTCACTACTGCACGGAAAACAACTATCTTTTTTGTGTATCATTCAATAATTTTAGCCACTCAAAATGGTAATTGCTTCAACCAATATTTTCCAAATCCATCAACTCCAATCTAGGAAAGATCATTCAGCATATTCATTACAAAAACCAAAGTGAAAATAATTTCCTACACTGAGGTTTTCATAAGTACATTTATTTCCATTCAACTTTCACATCATGCCTCTTAAACTTGCCCTGCATGGTAGCATTGCAAAGACATGTTTAACACCTTGAAATTCTCTTGTAAGCTATTGAAATGAAAATGCAGAGATCAAATACTAAAACAGACAGGAAAAGCTTGCAACAAAGGCGTGCAGTCAAAAACTTCAAGTCAGATATCTATAATTATCGAAAAAAGTAGTTGATACAACCTTTTCATCCCCTTTTTATTTAGAAGATACCAGCTTGCAATTTAGTTCTATTTCTGTAATTTGTAACACAATCATTACCACATTTCCACCCTGTCTAGCTGATGGGATTCCCATCTTGCATAGAGAAAAAGGATTGCCAAGTGCAGTATTGGAGATGGAAGATGGCAAGTATGGAATGATTCCTCAGAAGCTAATGATAGAAATATAGGTTACCAAAAGAGCCAGAAGAAGATGCAATCTATCCCTTCTGCATGACTTAGATTGAGCTTTTGTTTTGCACAAATGCATACAGAATCATCAGTTGGCAGCAGCCCAAAAGCCAGAAAGGTACTTGACAAGGCTGGAATTAACTCAGTGAATGTGGTTATTATCTCAACGATGTTATGGTCTGAAGCCAATAAGTCATTACTGGTCAATTGAGACTTCACTGCTGACCTGAAATCAAACTCTGTTAACCCACCTTACCAATCCTAATTCCTGCTATCCAAAGAAAAGCCACATTTCCAATTACCACTCAAGCAAAATTACAACAAAAAATGACATCAAGCTTGAGCTTGAAGAAAAGAGACCTATATTTAAAAGTTATGGATGATTAAGCTTCTATTACTCAATAAATAAAAGGAATCCAAAGCACTAGTTAATGTGGAGCAACCGATTCGACTAGGGAGACCACAACTATAAGTGCTTTGGAGAAGGGCCACTAAGGAAACATCAAGGCATGAAGACCAGTAAGCCAACCAAGCATCTCCAAGTGGGACTCAGCTATCATACAACCAATGCCCTTAGTAAAAGCTATAAAAGAATTGCATTTCTTAATTTTTTGACTCAAAGTAACTTACAGTCAAACCTTAAACGATCTTTCAATCATCATATACTCCAAACTCTCATAAATTATCCAGCTTCAAGGGAAAGGCCAAGAATCTGGTTAACTCCCTTAAACGTAATACTACCTAAGAAACCAACCTATGAACTTATGACTTGTGATTATAACAATTAAACCCCATACTTGATTTCTTAAACAACTGAATTTTTGCCCCCAGCAATCATTATTGTCTGTAGAGATATTTTGATCAGCAACAAGTGAAATAAAGTACTCAACAATGGATAACTCACATAAACAGGGGATAAACCTAAAGCATCAGAAGTTGATTAGCAACTACAATAATTATATATCTTGAAAATTTTAATTTATCTTTGATACTCAGCCCTTAGTAACCAAACTTTTCTGATGCCATCTTGATAATGTCACAGTTTATATATACCACCTATGTAACAAGCCCAGATACAAAACAAACCAAATAAGAAATAAAGAAAGGAAAAGATCAAAACTTTTTCCACAAAAGGAAAAAAAAAGGTTAAAAAAAAACCCCATTAATCAAATATTATCATGGCAACAAATAAAGCAAAACTAAGTTAAGAAACAGTTAAGATGGATAACAAACCTGTAACACTTTTTGAAGGTTTTAAGGAAGTTCGATAGTTTTAAGGCAGCTATATATTGCATAGTCTGAGGAAGGAGGAGAAGAAGAGTTACAAGAAGAAGAAAACTTCGACAAATACAGGTGCAGACACAAGGAGCCATATTTATGCTTCCCATAATTCTGATTTAAAAAAAAAATACAAGAAATTTTTCTGGAGAGAGAAAAGAGAGCATGAGAGGGGTGACTTTATTAGCAATTGTTGTGAGGCGGAAGTAACTGGTTTTTGCCTTTAGGCGGATTTTCTTTGTATTAAAAATTGGAAAGGGAAGATGCAGGAACTTGGGAAGATGCATGTATCTACTTAATCTCTTCTTCAAAGGTGGACCCTAGCTGGTTGGGCAAGATTTCCTTGTATTTTTTATTTTGGCCCTGATGTTTTAGTTAATTGTTATTAGGTCCTTTAATTTATTAAACTTAGGCAATTTGCAACTAGATCTAGACATTGGACGAGAGCATGTCGTGCATGTTTTGTTGGCGCCTTCAATTTCCAATTTTAGAAGGAGAAAATGCTGGGCAAAAGTGCGGTACAGTGATCTTCATGTATGCTATACATTCTTTTAGAAAAACAATCGATGATAAAAGTCTTATTAAAGAACGGGTATTAAATAATACTGAGGTTAGTAATTTGACTCTTAAAATTTTCTTTTGCAATAAATTCTTGTACCATACTAGGAATTTCTTTTGCAATAACTATGATAAAAACACTAACAACGCTTTATTCTGAACAACTACTATTTTGAATGGCACGGCTCTAATCCTCTTACTTACACTAAAATTAGGAAAAACAAAAGCAAGCTGTTTTATTTCTTTATTAGTAGTTGGGCAAACGATACTTAAATGTGAAATTTGGGGTTCTTTAAGAGAAATAGTGTTGACATCAAACACGAACCATAGAAAGAAAAGCAAAACATGTGTCCTAGGATGATCCATCAAAATAAGACCATGTGATATTTTTGCATTACACACAGCACCGACAGAAGGGAGAACAAATGGAAGAAGACATGATCATATTGTATTCGTCTTTCCCAAGTTCCAAGCGTGTGGCTGCTCTTCTCAGCTCTTAAAATCCGTCAACAAAAGTCATTTGGTGCAAATGATGATATGGGTGGCTATACTGTGCAAGATTGGGTAACTTTCATGTACACCTAGGTGCATGTTTATTTTCATCACAAGGATGGCCAGCCAAAGTGAACTGGAAAAACGGGCTGCATATGAAATATCAAATGGCAGCCAAACTAAACTTAGGTACCATCCTGTATCCCATGTAAGGCCGGCTGCTAGGTGGAATTGCAGCAAAAGCCACCGTAAAAACCAAGTTGTCACAACAGTCAACTTGTGACTGCTCTCCACATTTCAATTGCAGCAGCTACAACGATCACTCAAGCTTTTGGTAAAGAGCCAGATTGCAAATAGGCTCCCAATATCCACTGCTGCTGCAGGAATCCAAAATCTTTAAAAGCATATGCACAATGGAAGTAAAGCATTCATGAACCATCCACAAGCACAAACCTACTGATGCAAAAGAATTTTGAGAAAAAGAGGCATATTCATGCTGAGAATTCACGTAATCATTATAGTGGATGTTCAACATCTAGCAAAAGCTGTGCTTCTTTTCTGTTCACCCATGTTGGAACTTATGCTTCCACAGGCATTTTCCAAACTACCAACTACCAACTACAATTTTTGCCAAAATTCAGGGGAACCAATTTACAGAGATTACAGGGATCCTATATGACAACATCAGTCACATCTGTACAGTAAAGGAAGGAATTCACATTCTATAATATTTACATAATAGCTGACAGTTTTTAAGATTAGTTAATAGCAGGTTCCCCACAAAATGCATCAGGCTCAAAGGTTCTAGCAGACTCATCATTGTAGACTCCAGGTACAGCTCTACCACCAGCTTCCTCAGAAGTCTTGTAAGACCTATCTTGGCTACCCTCCACGTTCAAAAAGATGACGACACATATAAACAATGATATTGCAAGAGTTACCAGAGTATTCTTTAATCTACTCAGCACGGGCTTGACCTGTAAGGAAGCCATAACAGTGAAATTACTCGTGCCATTGTGTGAGAAAGTCCTATCAAAAGATTATCTTTCTACACGTACATGAACCAAGGTTTTGAAAGTGACAAGTCATATTTTGGTTGATTGCATATATGAAGATATCGTAAGATGTCCGTAATAATCTTGTAATTAAAAATTTATTAAACTGAGAAAGGAACAAAGTAGAGAACATTTTAGAACTAACTCAGACATTTGGTCTGTATCCAGAAACAAAGTCTTGAAGGGGTTCATATTTGTGCGTTCTGTTTGGTAGAAGTCACAGATATCACCTGACTATACTTGCTTTTGCTCTAAGATGACATAAGTTGGAGGAAAGCCAGATCAATAAAACTGTGTCCCATTATTGGAAAAATCTATGCAGCCACCAAACTGAAACTTTTGTAGGCGTGGATGGAAACTCAGCTTGGACCATAAGAGGAGAAAATCAGCATAAGAATCCACTAGTTTGACAACTGAAACAGGAAAAACTAACTACGACCACAAAAAAAAAAAAAGAGTAGATTCAGAGCTTCAAAAATAACTTGTCAAGAGCTGCTTTCATGGGGAGATCAAACTAGAGATCAGCTCCAACTTGAGCACAGAATGGCCATTGACACGTTTTGAGGATTGTACCATCCTAAGGGCTATATCACTTTATTTTGTAGCTATAAATCAGCTGATCACCGGTAATACATGAAGAATATTGGCATGTACTCAGTGAAAGAATGGTCAGAATATGTTCCACTAATTGCCCTAAACCATCAACAAGTTTGATAGAATTGTTATTGTTACAATTAATTTCATTCCAAGTTGGATATTCCTCTCCCTTTTATTCAAGAAAACCCATTTAACATCTCAAAAAAATCATACAACCAATCAAAAAAGGACCTTTAACTTCGAATAGAAGTACCTCAAATTAACCAAATCGAGGTTGTTTTCATAAACTTTGGCTTATTACAGGGATGTAGGAATCAGGCCATGGTGGTATAATGGCAGGAAAAACCTGTAACATTTGATAGTTTATCCTTTATTGCCCAGTTTATGCTTTTATTGCGAATCCCATCTTGCTCAGTATTTCCAACACAAAATTGTAGTCAGATGGCTTCAACTATTCAAACATCCTATATTGTTACATGGTTTACTAATAGAAGTCTCTATCATGTCATATGTTTAGGATCAAATTCCTTAAATCGCTTACCGAAAATGAGCCCAAAAGCCGGTCACGAGCCAAAACTTCAGCAGTCTTCACCCACATCTGCCGAGGCAAATCGGATCAAATCCCCATGGTTAGTTCATACATTATTATCATATTTTATGGGCACAGCATAAAAGTGGGTCAAATCCGAAGACTTCAAAAAAAGACATAAATAAAAGAAAAGGTGATTTTGGAACCACCTCACCTGCCCATCATACCACCCTGTTTCTTCATCTGCAAAATAATTTTTTTTTGAAAAAAAAAAGCAAAACAAATATCAAATAAAATATTAAACTGAAATTGGAATTGAATCACCAAACTTATTAAAAGTTGGAAATTAAAAATATATATATATGATTATTTACATTCAACAGTGGCACTGAGCAATCTATTGCCGACGTAAGCCCAGCCCAAGTACATCCTCACAACCAGAAGAGTCATCACTAGAATCCCACTTGAAACGCCAGCCAGGACCCGTTTGATAGGGTCGGACTCTGGTCCAACCGACCCGAACCAGGAGACGGGTAGGCCGACTAGGGCGGCAAAGGCAGCTCCGGCGACAAAGAGGCGGGAGCTGTACTCAACAAAGCCAGCTGAGGCCCACGAAAATGGGAAGGAATTGGAGAGCGCCTTGTACTCATTAATGGGCTGCTGGTCCAGAGGGACTGGGCATCCTCCTCCTGTTTCTGATGATTCTGGCGGGATGCTGCTGCTATTTCTGAATGATGCCGAGGGTAATCTGGAGTGAAGATTGGTTTTTGGGATGGTCTGAGCTCTGGGAATTGAGCTGATTTTAGTGAAGGGTTTCCATATGCCAAAGTTTTCAAATCAAGCATCACAGAAGAAAATGACTTTAAGAGGGGGAAAAAAAAATAGAGGCAAGTCTCCGGAAAGATAAACATTCGATTGATTTTTATTCTTTTTTTGTTACAACCAGCAGAGACCAGATGTTTACACTTGCTGAAGTGAAGCTACATTTTGCTTCCTCACGACCTCCACAGATTGAGAACCTCTCTTTTTTTTTTTTTTTTTTTTTTTTTTTATTACCCCATCATATGTACTTATTGAATAGACTTCTCACACATGTATCATTCTACAGATGTTGATCTCTACAGCCTACTAATAAGAAGAAGAAATTGAGCTTTTTTTTCCCCCTTTCTTTCAACTGTGTGACAACTCCGCGCATAAATTACTTTTGACCTGCATCAGCTGCTATATCCTCCACTGCACTTCTTTGTGCGTCATTGACTGCGGAGAACATATGCTTCTGAACACTGAACTGGCTGTGTTGAGCCCCCACTTCGATTGAACCAACACTTCCCAATCCTGTATGTCCTGTGTATTTCTTTGCATCTACAAGCTTCTGAAACAAAAAGTTCCGCTCTGGCTCTTCGAGCACACGAACAAAGTCATGGCTATCATCACAACAATCACCTACCTTCAACCTTGTTGCGGTTTGGTTTCTGTATCTGTTTTCTGAACTAGACGCTGCAGACCCTTTAGACGGGTAATGATCTCCTTAAATGACGGTCGTGCATTTTGATTACTGCAGGAAACAAGCACCACATTCAGTATATCAAAAAAAACCACCCCCACCATACAATCTGAAAAACCCGCTCATGAGGGCCATGGAAATCAGAAGATGAGTACAGAATTAGAAACTTACGAATCCCAGCAGTTGCTAATAATTTCTGCAACCACAGGGTCAACACGATCTGGAATAGTGAGGCGTCTACCCTGGAAACCAACAGCTCCAACCACCTGCATGGAGTTCATCTCTGTCCAAGGAACCTTATGCGTTGCCAACTCCCACAATATCACACCAAAACTGTATACATCCGATCTGCAATCCAAACAAAACCCCATCCAATACAATTACTTTTAAATCAACTCAAACTGAAAATTTTGCAACAAAACTGGGAACTGGAACTGCAGAACTAACTCACTTCTCATTGGATGGTTCATTCCTCAAAACTTCTGGGGCCATCCATTCAGCCTGCATTGTGTTGCAAACCTTTAGTAGATCCCATGAAACTTGGCAGCAAAAAATGCAGGCAAAAATGCCCAATAAACAGAATAAACTGATCAATATTCTTAAAGTGAGAAGCATTACAGTTCCAGCTGTAGACTTTGAAGAGAGGAATGTGTGATGCTTCATCCGTGACATCCCAAAATCACAAACCTGCAGATCAAGTAGGCAAACAAGGGAAAACATATTAAGGATAAATCAGTGATGAATCCTAACAAATATTGATAGAAACTCAATTGCTCGAGTCGTTTGACAACCTTAACAACCCAATTTTTATCAACAAGGAGATTTGGGGTCTTCAGATCTCGATGGACAATGACAGGATTGCTTGTGTGCAAATAATTCATTCCCTTGGCCTGGAACAAATAGCAATAGCAATATTTACAAGAAGAAAACTTGATAACAGACTCAAAGGAAACAGGGTTTTCCAACTAGTCTTGTACCACATCAAGAGCCATTCGCAGCCGCCTCTTTTCATCAACTTGGACATTTGAACGATGCAATAGCTTAAACAAGCTTCCCCTGCATCACATGAGCAGGAAAAAAAAAGCCTTATCAAGATATTTTGCCATGTTATATAGTCTCTAGAAACAAAGATCTTTCAGCAGAAACAAATTCATCTTGAATATTCAGGAAGCATCTCAATTAATCATAACTCGTAATCCCTCCACTCCATATGCCCAGGAGATATGCAACAAGGCAAAAAAGTTCGTCCAATTGATATATTTCAGAGTTGTATTAGGTTTAAAAGAAACAGCTAATTAAAATTAAAATAAACATATAAAGCCAACAACAGCTGCTACAGTAAAAATGGCCATGATATTATGCTTCAAACTAATTTTCTAAAAAGCCCTGATTATACAAAATTAAGCACAGGTGACAAAGGCGAAGTCGTACTTTTGGGGAAAAAAGGAAAAGCAAGAAGCAGATGCTCAGGAGTGGATCAGAGTAGACACCAAAAGGCATATATATCATGGCTTAATAACTGGAACTAAATAGATCGGAAAGCCCTTTCAGCTAGTTTGCAAGTACTGAGCATGCCAAAATGAAAAGAATTTATAAGTTTGACATTCATGGCAGAAGTCTGATGCACAGCCACCCCTTCTACATTTTTTTCCACATTCTAACAGCAAATATAGGGGTGTTTAATTTGTAAATTGTCCTGTGCTTATCCGTGAATTCTTTTATATGGCCAAAGTTTAACTTTGCATTGTAACGAAGATGATAATTAACAATAAGTAACTGCAGCAGATTACCTAAAGCCCATCAAAGCCTACGAGAGCAAAGGATGTGGGTAAAGATAGTTTATATCAGCTATTTGTTAGCAAATGTTTAGATCCCATAACATACTAAGTATCAAACGATTGGGAGCTTAATATAAAAAGACCAGATTGGATTAGTCAATTCTTCTTTAGCCAATTTTTTGTTTGTTCGTTTCATCAATTCTCCTTACTTTCATACTTTCACTTTGACAGCACAAAGAGTATCATTTAAAAAGCAATCCGTCAGATATTACATATTAGCAACCCCATCAAAAGAAATAAACGAGCTTCATGTAGTAGCGATTCAATTTGAATGGGACATCAACCTTGGCAGAAACTCCGTCAATATCGAGAGATTTGGGGGACGAGTTACTGCTCCCATGAAGAGAACAACATTTGGATGTCTCAATCTCAGCATGATTTCAACCTAATAAAATGTGAAGGAACAGTTGTAGCATCAGAAAACATTTCAACTACAGAATAAGAAGAAAGAATCAAAACCATTATCATACTTACTTCACATTTGAATTGCGCTAATGCATCACCTGAGATATCTTGATTCATAAACTTCTTCACAGCAACTTCCTGTTATGCAATCACATTCATCAGACAACACAAAGTGGTGCAAAATGCCAGCAGAAGGTGAAATATGTCTTGCTATACAAGCAAAGAGATTTGACATTAATACTTGCTTTTCAACGGCAATTAACAGTTGATTCAGTGGATAGATCATACATTTGACAGACAGCACAAAGCTAAAAACAGGATTGAGTAAGAACTCAACAAGACAGCCAAATAGCCTTATCTGGATATGTTACATAATTCTTCGGCACTAAAAAAGTATTGAAAAACTCTCTTTGCTAAAGCAGATGACGTCAAACAATGGCATACCATGTGTTTTCCAATTTATTGAAACAAAATAGCTGCAAAACGCAGATGAATGCACATGCACACCAAAGATATACTTACAGTGCCATTCCAATCTGCACGATACACCTCTCCATATGATCCTGCAAGACAGGAATTCAATGAGCTAAAATTTTGCACAACAAACAATATATGAATGTCATACTTTATCTTGATTAGAACCTTTTGTTACACATCCTTCAAGTTAGCTGTATCAAAAATTCAAGATGCCTCGAGTATTGACTAGGAAACAGTCAACTTATTTAAATTCTGCCTAAAGTGTCATATAAAAATGACCATGAGATGCTTAACTAACAGGAAATCATATAAGCCTGTCAACCTTAAAAGTCAGTGAGAATAGTTCTAAAGAAATACCAATGCCAATACGTTCACCAATCTGCAGATCTTCCCATGGTATTTCCCACTCAGCAACTTCACCCAGCACTGGATCAATTTGCTCGTCTTTAGTAGTTCGCTGATCAAATTGCTCGCAGGTGGTAATTTGTTTTACGTTGATTGGTTGATCATCAGTTTGGATCATTAAATCAGTTCTATCTCTGACTTGTGCATGTCCTGAATTGTTAGTATTAGAAGACAACTTTCCTAAAGGATTACATTCATTAGAACTATTGGGTGGCTGTCCCTGCTTTTGCGCTACCAATACTGCAGGAGAACATTTAAGGTCAATGCTACACGGGAAAGTGCTAGATAGCTGCAATCCAGAAAAGGGTATGAGTGCCTGCGTATGGTCTGACAAGTACGCTGGTGGTTGACATTGAACTTCAGACACCATCTCACGCTTTAATAACTGCTTCTTTTCAATCACTTCCTGCTCTCCCAGATCATGAGGACCTTGACTTAAAGAATTGCGGGCAAATTCTGGGTCTTTTTCTTCACTAACAACACGCTTGGAAACATCTTCAACTTGGATCTGTTGGGCAGCAGATGGTTTAGGTGCAGCCCCTGATGACCCTTCAGTTGTTTTGACCAGTGATTGTAGATTTCCAAATTCAGACTCAAACTGCTTAGCTTGGGCGTTCCCTGAAGCAGTCCGACAATTTCTCTGTGATTCAATTCCAGTAAAAGATGGTAGAGAACTTGACCTGCTGACATTTGATGCTCCTTGGATAACGGATAGTGTTTCAGTTGGTCCCCCAAATTCTATTTGTGTATTTTCTACTATATCCTGAATGGGTGTCATGGTTCTTACATCTAAGCCACAACTTTGAAGCTGAGCACTTGGTACTTCAGAAGGAATTAAAGCGCCTGGAGCACCCATTAAGTCAATAATGTACTCACTGCAGCAGAAAATTAAATTAGCAAACATGCATTATCTTCTGAAATATTCAACAGCAATATTGATACAAGAATGGCAAGAAAAATTTAGAAAATGCAGGCAAGACCCATGTGGATTGTGAATACATTTTCCATCTGAATAAAGCTATAATTTGTAAACATCTGATTTGCTTCCTGCAGAGAAGTAGTTGTGTTTGTTGGATATCACATGTACAATAAAATACATGGGGCAATCAAGCAAGGTTTTTCAAAGGCGTGATAAGAGGTACATTGGATTCTCTCTCAACCTTTCTTTCCTTTTTCTTCCT